TGGGGATATTCTAAGAGAGGCAGAAGGACACATTTTTGGATGAACTAGTGGTACTGGGAATCAAATTTTACTTATGGATCTAAGTTTTAGGTATAGGAGAAGGTGGCCATTGGGGCCAGAGCAGAGTTTGGAGCCCCCTCATTGCATCTAGCCCAGCTTTTTTTTTTTTTTAATATTACCATGACAGTCAATATAGACCTTTTTTTTGTTGGTTTACTTTCCCACTGGATGTTTAGATCAAATTAAGACCTGTGTTAATCCAAATTAATCTCTTTACATGTATGTATATTTGTCAATGTCGAACGAGGCCATGTGAGGAGGCTCTTAGCTCCTCCGTAGTCTTTCATTCTCCAGTTCTGTCATCTGCTAGGGTGGGTCACAGTCTTTCCTCACCCATGTGAAGTCTCCCTTAGAAAGAAGGGGAAAGTTCTCCTGTTTAACGAACCTCCATTTATTTATTAGTACATGTTTGTGCTACATAATGTTTACATTCCTCATGTGGAACTGAAACATGTACATAACATATATTAATTTATTTCTTTCATTCCATTTCTCTTCCTTCCTCCCCTCATTCACCCTCTGCTTATCCCTTAATCACCTTCCTATATTTGCTGTGTTTGCAGTACATAATGTTTACCTTTCTTGTGCAGAGTTGGCACATACACATACTGCATCTTAACCCCTTTTTTCATCCCCGTTCTGACCCCTCCCTCCTCTTTCCTCTATTGATCTCCATTCCCTTTTATGAAGATCAGTCTATCAGTCTCCCCACTTACTATCATCTATCTTTTATTTTTTGCTCTTTTAGTTTCAGTTTTTTGTATAAGAGAAACTACAGCATACTAAAGCTTGTTTTTCTGATTTGTTTCATTTAACATTATGGTCCCAAGGTACCCGTTTTCCTACCAATAATTCAAGTTTATCTTTTTTTGTGGCAGAGCAATGCTCCACTGTGTGTAAATATCACATCTTTTTACTAGGATTAGAAGTCCCATACGTCCCAGTAATTACCCTTCTGTGTATGTGCCCAAGAGAATTAAAAGCATCAAACTAGAGTGATACATGTGCACTTTTCTTTATAACAGCACAGTTTGCAATAGCTAAATCTTGGAAACAGCCCAAATGCTCATCAACTGGTGACTGGATAAAGAAGATGTGGTTTCTTTATATAATAGAGTACTACTCAGCCATAAAGAAAGACAAACTAGAGACATTTATATATAAATGGATGCACTTTAAGACTGTGCTCTTCAGTGAAATAAATAGGTCATACATGTGTAAATACCAAATTGTTTCTCTGGTGTGAGAAACTGAAAGTGTAAATGAGGACCAGAATGTTTAATATTGTGAAATAGGAAGAAAATGTTCAAAGGGGAAGGGGAATTGGGGTGGGGGATGGGAAATGGAAGTAGGGAAAGAAAAAAATGAGAAAAGAAGAAAAATGGAAACAAAGCTTTTGTAAATATGGAGGGGTGGAGGGGTGGAAGGCAGGGAAGTGTGATGTGAAAACATAACAACCAAGATATATCATGTACAAATTCCAGATGATGAATGTGACCATAATGTATACCTAAAATGTACCAAAAAAACTTAATGAATAAACAAATACCAAATTTGTTATCTATTCATCTGTGGATGGACATGTAGGCTGCTTAAAATATTTAGCTGTTATGAATTGTTCTGCTATAAACATGGATATGCATGTATAACTATGATATGATGTCCTTAACATTTTGGGGAAGATACCTAAAAGAGGAATAGCTGGGTCAAATGGAATCTATCATTTTTTTTTTGAGGACTCTCCATGCTGATTTCCAAATTGGTTATATTAGTTTACATTCCCTCCAGCAATGTAGAAATGTTCCTTGTTTTGCCTGCAGCCTTACCACCATCTGATTTCTTGAAGATTACCATTTTTTTCTGGGATGAGTTGGAATCTCAGTGCTGTTCTCTATGGCCAGTGACATTTGGCCATTTATTCCTTTATTTATTGGCCATTTGTCTTTCTTCTGTGCACCTTCTATTCATTTCTCTTGATGATTTTTCATTGTTCTTTTGTTGTGGGGCATGTAATTTGTTTGAATTCTTTATATATTGCACATTTTAGTTTTCTGTCTAAAAAAATAGAAGCAAAAGTTTTTCTCATTCAACAAATTGTCTTTTCACTGTGATGGTTGTTTCTATAGATGGGCAAAAGCTTTCTAATTTGAAATGCCCATTTGTTGATTCTCAGAACTGTTTTCTGTGTTACTAGGGCTCTGTTCAGAAAGGTCCTACCTAACCTATGACTTCAAGAGTTTTACATGTTTTGCCTTTCAGCAGGCTTTGTAATTCTCCTATAATATTTATTTCTTTGATCCATTTTTGTTTTAGTTTATGACATGGTGAGAGATATGGGCCTAGATTCAATCAATCTTCTACATGTGGACTACCAACTTTCCCAACACCATTTAGTAAAGAGGCTATCTTTCCTCCAGTGTAGACTTTTGGTCTGCTTGTCAAAGATCAAAGTTTTCAACATGCTCAAAGTTGTTTCTGCATCTCTGTTTTGTTCCATTGAACCTCATGTAGGTGTCAGTACCATGGTGCTTTTATCACTGTACCTTTGTAATATAACTTCAAGTCTGTGATTGTGATGCCTCCAACTTTGCTCTTTTTACCTGGGATTGCTTTTGCTATTCTGGATATGAATTTTAGGATTTTTTTTTCTCCAGGTCTGTAAAGGATGCTCTTGCAAGTTTGATTAGGATTGCATTAAATCTATATATCAGTTTTGGACGTTTGACTACTGTGATGATATTGGTTCTGCCCATAAAGGAACAGGGGACAACTTTCCCTTTTCTGATAGTTAATAATTAATCTAACCTTGCCTTGGTTACTTTCTCATTGCTGAGGCCAACTACTTGACACCTACAACTTAAGGGATGAAATGTTTGTTTTGACTCACAGTTTGTAGAGGTTTCAATCTATAAGTGGCTGGCTGTAAGGCAGGGTTGCATGGCAAAGGAGCATTGCAGAGGAGAAATAGTTCATGGCAGAGTAAGCCTGAGGCAGAAGGAGCAAGCAGCAGCAGCAAGCCTGCCTTCCTCCTCTCTCCCTTTATATTTTATCTAGGCTATAAGCCCATTCATTGGTGCCACTCACTCAGGGTGAAGCTTCCATTTTGCACACCCATAACTGTGCTAAATCCCTTTAGTTACCATACATTCTTAACCTCAGTATCACACACCCTAGAGTCAGCCAACTCTGAAAAGCTCCACCTATGACAACATGACATTTTGGGGGGACATCTAGATATAAGCCATGACAGTCTCTGCAACAAAAATTACAGCACTCTGAAAAAGGCAAATTTTTTTCATTAAGTTTATTGGTATGTTTTAGGTATACAATATAGTTGCATTCATCATTGGGATCTTGTACCTTTACATGATTTATCTTGGTTCTTATTTTCCCCTATTCCCCAGCTCTCCCTTCACCCCCCCATTTACAAATACTTTACTCCCATTTTTTTCTTTTCTCATATTTTTTCTTTCCCTTCTTACTTTCCCCTACTCCTCCCACTTCCCCTACACCTTTACACCTTTTCTTCCTTTATAAAGAAGCCAATTTTAATGAATATCCTTTTAGCATAGTGTACACTGGCTGACTCCTTTCCCTTAGGATTCAACAGTCTCCCTGTTCAGAAGGTTGGGTGACTCACTAGAGTGGTACAATCTTTTTAGAGGACTCCCATCATGTCCTGGGTCTTGGCCGATCTTAAAGTATAACTGCCAAAATATTGGCTTTCCTCTTAGTCTAGTTACCATTTTTAGTTTTGGATTTTAAGCCTTAGTTGTTGAACACTCAGACCAACTTTACCAGTCTTGAAGTAAAAACAGTAGGCTTTAATCTTAACTATTATAATCTTGTTTGAATATTGGATACTTTGAAAATAAAATGTATGACTAAAGGGTTATCTAATTGCAAGTCAGTGTCATATTTTATGTGTATTGTGGATGATGGCCTACAATCTTATCATGTTGCTTAAAATGTCTTTTAAAAGGCCTGTTTCTGGACATGTTCTCAGATAACAGTTACAAAGCTTACAAGAATTCTAAAATCAAGAGCAAATGTTTTGTTGTAGTACAAAAATTATGATGACATATTATACTAGAGAGATTATGGATTTAATCCATAAAAATACAATTAAACTCACATGTTAGTATATAGTAGCTTTCAATATGTTACCTTTATCAAGTTATAACATATTCCAAATTTTTATTTTAGATTTGCTAATTTTTTAATAAAGTGGTTAAGTGGAATGTACTTGTTTGCAGATATACTTTATAGATAACTAATTCCTAGTCTTTAGAGGGCCATATTGTTTAGGTCCATCTAACTATCATAACACAATTACATAGCAATCACATAAATATAAGCCTAAAACAGTTCTTCATCATAAACAACCTGAGTCAGGAGATCATCAGTATGACAAGGTGTTTTTTATTTTCTGCATCTTATAAATCCTGTATGCTTGAGAAACATAAATGCAATCAATATAACATATGTTTAGCAATAATTATAGATAATAGAAAATCTTTACCATTTACTTATATAAATTATTAAATATTTATATATTTTACAACTTATATATAAATTATATATATATATAATTTTTTTTTACTTAGTTTTTATTCTTAAGACAAAATTTAGATTCCTTTACCAGTTTTACACGGTGTTAGGTAAAAAGAGCTGAAAACCAGGACCAGACCAGGACCATAACCAGCCTTTATTATGGGGAGGATAGGCCGGGCTGTCTCCGAACAAAGGAGAGGGAGCAACATGACAGAACAGGGAGCTTCTTTTATAGAAGCAGGGTGGGCTTAGCCTGAGCTGAGTGGAGTTGAGTGAGGTAGTATTAAGAGGTTGGAGAAGCCTGTGACATCATTAGGAGGGACTTGTGACATCACTAGCTGCTAGGAGGTAGCAAGTATCAGGTTACTCTTTCGGTGGGAGAACAGGCATGATGGGAAGAAGAAGCCCGTCCTTTGTTGGGAGAAGCCATATTTTAACATGGAGGCTGCTGTTCCGTGTTGCAGCCATCTTAAGGTAAGGGAAATCTAACACATGGCATAATGGCACTGACATGATCTAGGACACTTTTAGAGTTCTTAAAAGTTTAAAAACAGTGTTACTGAACACAAATAGACTTATTACCCAATGTATAAGACTATGAACTCAAAAAATGTTTCTTTTTAAGGAGGCAGCTGCAGGTACTTTAAACAGATTGACAGGCTCACTGAGAGACAAGAAAATATGTAGACATATGAAACAAAGTAAATTAAAGTGTACTTTTCTATGCAATGGCTACTCTGAATTATAATCATTTTCTTAGTTTCATGTTTATAATCATAGACTAGTCAGAATTTTCTGTAAGGCTTATCAATTAGTGCTCTTTTTTGCCCTTATGTAAGTCATAACACTATTTTCTTTAATACTGTAAGTTATTGTGAATCCTTTTTTCTTATTAGTTAACATCATTCATTTACAACAAGTAAGAGTCAGAAGGAGGAAGAGAAGACCTATAAATTACTAGGTAAGATTGTTGTTCATTTTCCCTTTTTAGTGTAAAATCAAGTTTGGGGCATTATTTCTTTACTCTTTAACTTACTTTTGGAGAAAAATCAATGATCTGAAAATCTTTTATCTTAAATTGGTCAAAAATTTATAAATATGAACAAATGGCAATATATGAGGACAGACATTGAGATACACATTAGAATTTAAGATGTACTGTACTCCTTTAAGATTTTCCCTTGTGTACTTCTGGAAAGAGATGGAGAGAAAAGAGAACAAAAAGATTTTTTAAAAAATGAGATCCCATTGAGATTTCTGAGGTGAGGCTGTGTGAACCACTCACCTCACCTGCAGCTCACACTCATGTACAACCTCCCAAACCAAGGTCAGGCTCTAGCCCGCCTAATGCTGGTGTCATGCTGTGTGTGCAGCCTGCCTGCTTCCCAGAGCCAGTACCACCCAACAACACAGCTCTGCTCTGTGACCCAAAGTCAGAATGGCCTAGGGGCATCTCTGCTCTGTCACCCCACAGTCAGAATTGCCCAGGAGAGCAGCTCTTCTTGACTAGTTCAGGCATCCCTGCTGATCATGGAGAAATTTGTTGCTCCAGTCCAGAACAACCATCCTTGATCCTGGCACAGAGCTGCTACTGCAACCTTCATCAACAGATCAGGAGAGCAGGAAAAATAAATCATTGATCTGGGATTTACTCGAAGGCTTACCCCACAGATACCTATATCTAGGGACATGTAACACACAGAAGGAGCTCATAGAGGGTGTTAAAAGTCTGGAGATCTCACTTAACTACAACAAATCACGTTCCATTTTAGATAGAGAGGTAAACTTGAGGCCAAAGTTATCATCAGAATATTGGAACCAAATAGCATGGAGGGAGGAAGCAATTCATCATTAGATAAGCAAGCTCTAGAGATCCCAGAAACAAAGAAAAAATATCTCTAGGTGGGGCTACACAGGTAACACTAAGGTCATGGTGGACAGCTGTGAAGAGCTGAAATGAAGCCCTTCCTAGGGTCTGTGGGTCTCTCCTTTCCAGCAGGAAAATACAGAGGCCAAGTGCTTCTCCTTCCCCATTCCCCGTGGTGGACGATTCCCTCTGGGAACTGTCTCAGAGCCAGGAGAAAGCATCCTGAGTTCCCAACTCCCACTGCTTCCCCTCTGCCCTCCAGCTCCCTGTCTTCTCCTCAACACCAACATCAGAAAAAGATGAAGGATTTGAGTCTTCTGACAGAGAAAAGCCCTAGAGTGGGAGAAAAAGGGACAAGAAGAGGACTAGGACAAGAAGAGGACAGAGGAGGAAAAAATGAAAATTTGCAAACTCCTTCTCAATTTGGGTCCATAGCTGCAGAAGTTGGTAGAGAGGCAGAGAGAAAAGGAGGGGGAAAAGAGATGAGTACACTTCAGAGGATAGGAGGATGGAGGAAACTGTGCTTCAGGGAGCAAGGGGTTCAGGGAACTGGGGAAGAAAATAATTAAGGCCTCTGTCTGATGACCCAAGTTGCCATCCCAACCCCCCTTTTAACCTCCCAGTTGGCTCAGCAGAGAAAATGTCACTGGACTGGGTCCAAAGAGGTTCCTGAAGCCGAGCCAACCAAACTTACACATATGTTTTATAAAATAAGCTTTCAGATTGGCTGACTCTTATAGTGGGTAAAGAATTATCAGGGCTAGTCAGGAAGGTGTACAGGAAGGGTTTTTATTAGGCAGAAAAGGAAAGCAACACACTCAAAAAAGTTTGTTGATGGCCGTCAAGACAGAGAGGCACTGAGTCCCTACAACAGAAGATATTTGTGCTGCTCTTGAAGGGTGAACACCCTGAAAAGGTGGCCCACCACACAGAAGGGTACTGACATATTCTACAGGCACAGGCCTAGTTTGTGTTTTTTGTTTGTTTCTTTGATTTTTTTTAATTGAGTTTATTGGTACATTTAGGGATACAGTACAGTTACATTCATTGTTTGATTTTGACTAAGTAGTTAAAACATTCTTTGGATTATCTCAACCCTCTCCCATAGATTAGGTTCAAGGTCTTGCTCATCACTTTTTCAGTTAGGCAAATCAGTGAGCTTTCAGGGTTCCTGATCATTTGAGGCATGATGGGTATGGAGGGGAAAGAGCTTAAATTTAACCAAGAGAATGCTGATGTGGACAGCCTTGGGTAACTTCACCTGAAGCCCCAAAGTCGCAATCTTCTTAAAAGTGCATTTTTTAGTTGAGATTTCCTTATCTCCTATGTAAGTATGCTTTATTTCCTTTATGCTACCTGAGCCCTCAGAGATGTGGAGTGTGCACTGACCACTGTGATGAAGCACGTTGGTCTCCAGCACAAAGTGGGGGCCTCACACCGAGGTAGAGGGACACTGGACACACTCCCCATAGCCCTGCATTAATGAGGACCACAAATACTTTGTGCTTGGCTTGCTGCTTCTTTCATATTTTCCTAAAATATGGAGATATTGCAGTGCTCATGTTCATGTGGCTGGGATGAGAGGAAGGATAATTGTTTGTATCCGTCCAGTCAGGGACCTCCCTGTGGATCAAGAGTGAGCCATAAACACTGTAGAAGACACCAGTGGGCACAGTGTCCTTTCTGTGCTGAAGGCCTGGCCATGGCTGTGCCTGATCTCATCTTCATCCCATGGCATCTCAGTGCTTGCTGTCCTGAAAGCAGACAAGATCCCCACATACACATACAACCTTCCCTGCTCCCCTAGAGTTCTACAGAGTTCGAACCCGAGTTCACACTGGCTTCCATGCTGTAGCAGGTGGGCAGCTTCTGAGGTTTGTCACCCTCTACACCTGGCACTCTCCCACAGGGCAGGGGACTCTCTACAGCAGTATGGGAGGATGGTGGCAGGGGGAGGGCAGACCAAGCACCTGTCCTGGTGGCCTTTCCTTGCTCTCTTTCTCATAATCCCAGGTAGAACCTTCTCCCACCTACTACAAATCACCCAGTTCCCTGAACACATTCTTGGGTATCCCCAGCCTCCTGGAGTTGGGAATCCATGTTTAATGCTCTTTATTTTCCTTTTGTCCCTTCCCATTCACTGGCTCTAAGTCCTGAGGCCTGAGACCTCAGGAGACTGGGGTAGATGTCAGGACATTTATGGAAACAATCTTGGTCCCTAAGTCACTGCCTGAGCACCACCTGGCCTCCTGCACACCACACTGGCCTCTGGGTGGGTGAGCAACAGGGCCACAGGCACTGGCCATCCTTCGCCTTCTATTTCATGTGTATTACCCTGGGGCCACTGCTGGGCATCCTGGAAATGTCACTAGATGAGGCTATGAGGCAGGGGTGGGAAGGATGTGAAGAGTGGGAGAGGCGTGGCAGCCACTGGGTAGCTGAGAGCAGATGGCCTTGTGCCCTCCACCCTGGCTTGCCTAGGGCAGCCTATGAGGGGCACGAGGCCTGGAGTAAAGGAAGAAGCTTGGCAGCAATAGCCACGATCATGACAAGGGCAATCGGTGCCACATCCAGGACCACATACCCAGGACCACATACCTACGAACACAGGCAGTAGGTCTCAGTGGGCAGTGGTGGGAGAACTTGTGTGGAAGCCTCATGTGGCTGCCGGGTCTAGCAGGGCCACCTGAGGAGGAGGAGGAGGAACAGGGCTGTCAGCCTGAATTCACCTCCCTTCTCCCACTGGACTTAAACAGGTCGCCTCTGCTTCCCTTTCTCTCATTCTGTCTCATTCTCTCACTTCTATCCAGCAAGTAGAGACTAAATCCCTTTGAGGATCGAGGCTTAGGCTTGAGCTCATGCCCTGGAAACACAGAATACTATTCTTACCCTTTCACAGATGCATTCATGCAACAAACTCTGATTACAGGAAGAGAACAGCCTTGACGCTCAGGGTCCTCACTTCACCTCATGCACTGTGGGCCTGCCGAGTGGTCTCTGCCCCTCCTGGGCCTCCCTTTCTCCTGTGTCTGAGGAAGCCATGGGCTAGAGCAGTGTGCTCCAGCTGTCTGTCATAGAACACATTGCTTCACCTACCTGTACCTCACCCGGAAGCTGCAGATGCCTGGTCTGGTTTCATCCCGTGAAGAGTAAATGTGAGGAGAAGCAAGTGGTCATAACACTTGCTTTACCATCACACTGCTCTTCCTGAGGGTGCCATTAGTACTGGCCCTGCAGATACCTTCTGAGGTCCCTCCTGGTGTTTGGCCTGCCCTGACTCAGTGGTCAGTGTGGGGGACCGCATCCCTCTACCTCTCACAGGCTTGGCCTGGAATAGGGTTGGGGCCATGGCTAGACTTTCCCTCCTCTAGATGGGCCCATGACCCCCTCCCAGTTTCTCTGGACTCCTCCACAGGGACCTTAGCTGTGCTCCCTAGAAAGTTTTCCTCCTAGAAGAGGCACCAGAGTCTGAAACTGCCCCTGGAGGACAAGGACGGCAGAGAGTTTTTGAGAGCCTGGAAGGAGGAAGATATGAACATCAATGAGAAAAAGCCCCAAACCTATCTGTTACCATCAGTAGGACTGGGTCCTTGGGCTCTCAGGTGTGTCTTCATGGTCACCAGGCACTTGAATCACCTTCACATTTTCCTGAGCTTCTGTCCTGAGCCTACTCACTGTCTTACTGTGGTAAAACAGTTCCTGACTCAGTGAAGTAAGTGAGTTACAACCATCCATCTACCCACACCTGGGGAGCTTTCCAACATCACCAGGTCCCAGCCCAGATGGCTGCCCTGGATGTGAATGGTGCATGCACCCTGGTGGTATCCTGTGTTTTGAGAAAGGGACCGTGGGGACAGTTCCTGTTCATGGTTCTTCTTGCTCAAGCACAGCTTCTGGGATATGAGTTTGAATCCCGTTTCCAGCAGGCTGTTCTGTGGGATAGCCCTGAGGTGCCTGTGGTCCCCAGTCTCCACCCTCACTTCTCCTTCTCCACCTTGGCCATCCTTGTAGTTCTGGACACCTACTTCCTTGCTTAGTTCCAAGTGTCTAGAGGTAGAGATGCCTCCCATGGCCTTAGCCAACCAATATGGGTT